GAGGCTTAGACAATGGTTATTTATGGTGATTTAATATGCAAAGGACAAAAAAGCTAACTATTCACCTGAAAAGCAGCGATTCATAACTCAGATGGATTAATGTGATCCAAAAAATAAATTTAAAACTAACTGTGTTGTTAGGCGGCATCACCAGTACCTACACATCCGTAGTATCTATCAAACAATCTCGTGCAGAAAACAGCCAAGTTCCATCGATTTGTAATCGCATCCCGTCAGCATCACGGTTATTCCCTATCAAGAATCTTTAACATGGGCGAGACACCGACGCGGTTCAAACTACCATCCAATTAAAAGTTAATAACCAATGATTGCATATTGTGTTTCCTTACTTTAAGTTAGCTTATAAGTAAATACATCCCGATTTAGTAGAGTTTCCATGCGCTAGAAAATTTTTTAAAAAACTTTCGGCCATAAGCCGAGACCCCCTCTAGAGCGCCAATTTTAATTTACTTCAGTTTTAATTTGTGTAAAAATCGCTCGGCTTATAGTCGAATAAATACGGTAAGTAAATAAAAGGACTCGACAGTGCGTTTTTAACTAACTTTAAAAGCTCCGCTGATTCAGCACTGACCTGAACACTGCGACTGTTATACAAATGCCTCGTGTTAGAAGCTGTCCATTTGCACGCAATCTGTGTGGCGTGAACAAGTGAGCGTTTCTCCTTAGTCCAGTATTTCTGAATTGCGGTGTAAAGTCAAGAGGCAAGCATGAGAAGCAAGAACTTATCGCTGCTAACTGATTAAATGAAATTAACGTGTGATGTAGCGCTCGTAAAAACTGGTAGATGAAAATCTTCTGTCGAAGATGTATTCCGTAATTTAAGAAACGCAACGCTGTGGTTGATTGACTGTGATCTAATAATGGAAACACTCTTAACTTCAACATGCAAATTTCTTCGTTCCTCTCTCATTATACACCGACTACCTTAAAAGTTAAATCATCCGCTTCATTATTTTCCATAGGACGTTACAAAAGTTACCGCGTTTCTGTTTATTGAAGATTATGAAATTAATTTCTTCAGAATTACAGGAATACTATCTCGTTGGTATGCTATAATCATTGCTACAACGCACTGGAAGTCATAAAAGCGACTTCACTTTCCACAGAATTTAACAATTATTTGCCTCAGGCGAAGTGAATATTACTGAATAATCCCCAAGACCATTCGAGGAGATTATTCAATGATATTCACCTCGTTTGAGGCATCGAACGTCGCGCTCTCTGAAGGTTCAGAGTTCTAATATCGATACCGTCAATCAACACTTGTGACGAACAATTGGAAAGTAAATTATATCGCATTCATATTTAAGCAGTTAAAAATTGTTAATCTATAAAATAAATATCAATTTCAAATAGGGAATATTATGTCTTTGATCAAGATAGGCCGTCTTCCTGGTGCTCCCAAAAGATTATTTTCATTGTCGAGTAACATTCACTGATATTACACCAGAAAATGCAACTCCTTTTCACATACCTCCTAAAAATATTAGAACAAATATTAAAACAAATATTAGACAGTTTGCGTTACGTCTCCAAGGACCTAAACTTTTCAATTCTCTTCCAAAACTGTTGGAAGTCTTATATTAATTGCGAACATTAATCCTACGTTTACTTTCGCAATTTTCTCAAGCTGCTTAAGTATATGAATAAAGGAGGTAAGTTTCTGAAGAAACTGTGGTGCTGCATCGGTAGGACAATATAACAGAGAAATTTAGTATTATCAAGTAATTTAGTAGTTACTAAGTTGATAAGTTAACCGTTAAGCTAACGGTGACAAATTTAAGTTATCAACTTAAATGATAGTACTAAATTGCCCTGCTAAAGGATATGTTTATTTGAGTGCCTGCTATTGTCGTTGTTGTTTCCTGTGCGTGTGTTTTTTTCTTTCCTTTTAATCTAAATTATCATGCTATATAACTGATGTCTCACTTTGCAAAATATGAGGAGCCTATCGCTCGCTTAAGACTTTTGGTTTCTTTTCGGTTTTCTTTTTGGGTTTCCTCGCCACATGTTAAATTTTCGGTTATTTCACATTCATGTATATGTAATTGCTGTTGATTATCCTGATGTATTATAATTACAAAATGGCTTAAGAAACAAAATAACAATGGGAGCATGCAAGGGTTCCAGGAGAGGTTCGTTGCTTTATTTCAAGAAAGTAATGGTAAACTGACTGAGTCAAAGGTTTACGAAATTTCAGAGTAAAATAAGAGTACCACTGAACTATAGTCAATGTCAGTTCAAGCATATAAAAGAACAGTAGCAAGCAATTACTACCCTCTCTGAAAGTTCGTACTGGCTGAAATCGTTTGCCTATTTGCAACAATTGACAACTAGTGATTCTGATCGCCTTTACTTACTTGTTAGCATCGTCTTCCTTGTTTTTGTTATAAGACTGACCAAGATTCACTTTCATGGAATGACAGAAATATGGGGTAAACGACTAAAAATGGCGACCATTGAGCTCATTTACAAGAGGTTAAGATTTAATTTCTACACATCTCAAAATGAGTGTAATGGTTTAAATGTGGCACCGATCAGATTAAAAAGCAACGTGATTTCTGTAGCACCTTTTTGCTCACGTTTATTTCAAAGTTTCTTTTTTATTTTCGTAAAACTGTTAGATTTTTTCATTTTTCGTGTTTAACGAGACACAAAATATAACATTACAGGAGAATTATTTTCAACAGGTACTGTTTACATGCTCTTTGAAACCGATCACGCCTGAAATTCACGATTTAATTAATGATGACTTTAAAAGGTGCTAAATATCGTCAGATAAATTAAGAAATACATGTAATTCTTAGAGTGGATTACAGTCCTTAGGTTGAAAGAAGGCTCCTATTTTCTTAACCTGGTTTGAGGTGGAGTTCGTTTTAATGGTATGGCGTGGTGCAAATGCCTTACTTGTGGTCCGAGGACAACACAAATTCAAAGCACAGCGGGTCGTCGAATTTATTTGTAAACTATATTGCTTCCAAGATAGTGAAGAATGGATCAGTCCTGATGCAACAGTCCTGAAAATTTTTTAAATCATGACACACTACGATTTTCATCTTTTTCAAGGATCAGGAGATAGCACATCTGTTTGTCTTCACTCCAAGCAATGGTGCCTATTTTTACTCAGTATGGGGTTTGTTTATTTTCTCGTATCAGTTTTATCAATGCTTTTCACTAAAGAATCCAGGAGACTACGAGAAATATCTCTTCTTCATGACAATTTCATCGTGTTAATCATATTATCTTCCTTGTTGGAATGGCTCGTTATCGCACAGGAAACTTTATCTTCGGGAGCAGTAGAGATTTACTTTACAGCTCATCAAAAGATACGAGTGGGGACCTGCCGTTTAATTATTTTCCTGTATTCTTGTTTGCAAACTAGTTCTACGGTTGCTTTAATCTTCACGATATATGCCAGAAAATTTTTGTTACCCAACATGAATTGCATCAAGCCAAAACCGTTGTGTAGCATTCGTTTGTTCGCCATACAGTTCGTGGCTGGCGTTATAGTTGCCGTGACAACGATTCTAGCTGACATTTCCACTACGAGTGGCTGTTGTTTGCATCCTTTTAACGCTGGGGGTTTTGAAAAGACAAAAGACATGATTTACAACTTAAGCAATGTATGTGCGATATGTCTTCTTTTGCTTGTCTCTACAGATAAATGTCTTAAACTGTTTTTGGCTGGACGAAGAGTTCGTTTTCCCTTCTGTACAACATCGAACAAATACCGTTTTAGGCCAGTGAGAAAAGAGGAAGTGATATGCTGATTCATCAATACGTGAAACTAAAAATACAAAAATACGAAAATATTCACAGAGGTTTACCGCACTGTTCTGTCACTAAAAGTGATTCCATGTATTAACTTGTCTGAAATCAAAACAATTTTGCCAATGAGTATCAATTGAACAGCCCAATAAGCTTAAGCGACCGAACGAACGATCGACACACCGATCCACCGACCCAACATGATGGCGACTGAAAGACGGAGTGAATGAACAAAACAGCGGATGATCGAATGAACGAATAAACAAGCGAACGAACGAAGGGACGAACGAACGAACGAACGAACGAAGGGACGAACTAAAATAAAAAAGAACAAGGACCCGATCTAAGATTTGATAACACTGTTACGAATGACCGGATAATCAAACCTGGAAGTTCTCGCGAAGTGGGACGAAAGAGTGGATAATGTTAAAAACCATATGCAGCGAATGCGAATTAATGCAATGATGTAAACAGTGGCAAATGGTGCAGCGAAGGGTACCAATAGGTTAAAAATGGACAGAAAGAGCAGCAAACATCACACTGTCTCGAATATCATCCTCTCTACGGAAAAAAAGAAAAAATATTAAACATATGCCGCCTCAATCTGACTCCAAGTTTTACAGAAGATCAGATCAGTCAAAAACCTAGTAACTTCCTTTCCAACCTTCATATCTTGCACCCACGAGTGTCCCACGCGCACGTTTGCCTGAAGCCATTCGGATAGATCAATTTCAAAGGAAGAGAGGACAACTCTCCCGAGCAACATGGTCGAAATTGAGGCCCGAGAGGGCATTAGTCTTTCTGCTAAGAAATTTTGGATAATTCTGTGGGCATTTGGTTAAATCTTTGCTATTGGCCTTATTCCCCTTCGCTGTTGACGTTAAGATTCTAATTACATTAAAAAATATCTTCATTAAATCCCCGCACCGTATTGTTCTTGTACAGCTGTACCCTTTTAGAACCAAATAAAATTATGCAACCACATCATCATAGAAGATTTAAAGCGAAATACAATTTTTATTCACAATTTTCTCGTGTTTCATCAAAAAAAAGGGAAAAAATTTTGAAACTGCAAAACAAATGTTAATATTCCCAAGAATAATAATAATGATATTCGCTCTGCGTTGAAGCTGTCAAAGTCATTATGCTGCAGATAAAAATAAAGAAGTTAGTCAATCATGAATATTTAATTTATTCCGGGAAGTCGTACAAATGATTATGTTTACCTCTGGCACATTTTTACAAAAGTTTTCGCCTTTGTTGTACGTCTGCGGGGGATTATTCGCATCCAGAATTTCAACCGAGCGATCGAACTTAAGCGAGGGCTAATCTATTTTGATTCACCATCTACGAACATATGCATTCAAGCAGAAGACACATTACAAACACTTTCGAAGGAGACTTTTAATAATGGGAAATAAGCAAGGAACTGCGTCCGTATTTCAAGACGAAGAGGATGAAGAAACGTGGTTTGAATGGATGGAAGCGACGGGTGATCGTAGAAATCAGAAAAGGTTGCCCATTTCCCCATGTTCTGATCTACTGGCGGTTCATGCGGTTCAACCGATGTCTCTTACACCTGGCGTGACCGATACGGCGAGAGAAGCAAAACAAAAATACCGCAGTGAAGCAAAAGCTCTCAGTGGACTCTATTTAGCTAGTGCGAAGAGAGAGAACATTTCGGTCGACCCATCGTTTCGCGGTGATGCGAAGAATAACAACTATTTACCGAAAGTAAGAGAAGGCGAAGAAGACGAATTGGACATGATGACGGTTGGCCAGGTGAGTGTAGTTAAGGAAAGAGAACAGGGATTATAAGAACCGTCGTCACAGTTCACAAGTCATGCAATAGTTCTTGTTTTGAGTTTGTCATTGCAATCCATTCAATCGTCTGTCGATCCATAACCATATCCTATCCCTTTTGGAGTCTCGTCTCATTTCATCTTTGTTCTATATGACCAAGAAAATGACTGATTCAAGACACGGAGAGGTAACTTAACGGACCAAATATTCTTATTTCACTTTTTCAAACTGAAAACAAAAATCTCTACGAAACAAATTCTGCATAATAAAAAGCCTCTCGATAACAACCTGTCAAGTTGCTCGCTTGTTTACCAAAAAATAAAATCAGTTCAACTGAAATTTATGCAAAAAATCATTCGACAATTACGAGGAATGAAGTGCTTTGCTCGTTCTACGGCACCTAGCTGTTATATTGTTTTAGGTTGTTTTTCAAATGTGATTTTTTTGGCTTTCTGGCTCTTGACTATGCAGAGCAAGTGGTACACCAAAAAAAAGCGAAAATAAAATATGAATCGGCTTTACTAAACGACTACGTCAATGAATGGCGATGGGTTTTAAAGATAAAGATGGGGCTTTTCAAGCTTTTGCTTCAAGACAGACATATCTGCATTAACGATAATTATTTCTTGTTTTAAAGTGCCAGCCAGAAAAGAAGCTAAATAGGAACCGCAAATCGAGATTTTTTTTTTCTTTTCGTTTCACATGCGAGAGTCGCTGTTCGAATAACCGACTGTATAAACCAGTCTTTCAAGATTATTCACAACGAAAGTGCATGATTTTTACAAATAAACTGCAGCATAATAGACTTCTTTGAGAGTCATTTAGGCGTATAGGTCCCTCAACATACAGTTAGAGGTGGGTAGGGGGGGTAGCCTATAGAGCCGTATATTCTTTCAAATGGATTATCAACATGAATCAATAAATCAAAACGATGAAAAATTTTTCATAAAATGTGATAATGGGATAAAGTTTTACTTTCTTTCATAAAAGCAGCTTCTCGAAAGCAAGCTTAGCAGACCGTTTTTAATCAATTCTATTGCATACACGAAAAAACAAAACCTTATTGTTTAAATTAAGCCACGTCTACAGCCCTTATATTTGCTTGGCAAATATTTTGGGTAGTTTTATTTAGGATAACAATAAGTTTTAAAAAATTATAACTCGCAAATATGCAGTCCTAAATATCATTTTAAGTGCTATTAAGACATTATTAATGAATCCAACGCGAGACAATTTTTTCCGGAAATAGAAGCAGACAAAGATTAAATTAAGGCTAGCGAATATTCTTTAAAAATAGTATCGCTAAACGATCTTTCTTGGCAAAGTGAAAAATCAAGATTTCGGCGACCTATTTCTTGTACAAATACGAGTAACGTTAGTGCCCTTCCTGAACAAAAATGATTATATCGTGTGTACTGATAATTACTTAGACTTCTCAAGAAACTGGGGACGAATACAGTGACTATGAAATTTTACATTGTTAAATCATTTCTAACAACTGCTTTTATCATTCGTGATGTCAGAGATGTCTTTACCTTGTAACTAGGTTGCGCTTGCCTGGGGCGATTTTTCTCATGCAAATAGGGCTTCATGAAACAAAAGAGATGTTGATAATCAAAGAGTTGACAGGAAAAGTGCGCGTGCTGATTTTGGTCAACAGTTAAAATTATTTAGCGCCTTTCAAAGACGCTGAGGTTAATAATTGTTTAGAGATTATTTTGCTAAACCAGCCAGCCCCTATCACAGAGCTTTTCGGAAACACTCGAACGGCTACGGAGTGGAGAAATAGAGCTACATCTTCATATCAACAAGCTATCTCAGGAAAAGGAAAAAAGCCGCACGGAGTAAAATGGTTGCTATTAGTGATTTAAAGTGCTAATTCACCCACGTAAGATCCTTTTTATTTTTCTGGGTAGGTGCTGCCAGATTTCCCAGCCGGGGAAGTGAATGTGTCTCTTTTTTTCGACAAAACATCCAGCCGTCTAAAGGTAAACATTGTAAAGGCTCGCAACCTCTGCTGCAAGGCCCGAGAGGGGAAGAGACAAGACCGATGTGGCGTAAGTTGTTCAGGTAATATAATAGTTTTTATTCGTTATTCGTTGTTAAGACTAGTCCTTTGATATAACCCAGCACATTTTATTACCCATGTTTTTTTTTTCTTTTAAAGGGAAATTTATACACTAAATTTTGGCAAAGTTCGACAACATGGTATTGAATTAAGTTATTTTAAATCACTTATTGAATTCAATCATTTTCAACTTGGGACTAACGCATGTCAAAAGGGATCGACACAGAGATTGATGGTTAGACAGGGTTTGTCGCTTCCAAGGGTTGGGTTGAGTGCCAAGCTTTCAACTTCTGAATTTTCTTTAAATAGGAATTCACCCCTGAGGATCAAGTCAAATCCAATTTAGATAAAAAGGACTTGCACCAAGTGGCCCACCCAGCTAGAGCTTATCCTAGTTCTAACAGCATCACACGACAAGGATCATTACCACTCTCCCCTAGACGGGATACTAAACCATCGCAAGGTCACCCCCCCCCCCCAGCACTTAATAAGCTTCACTGACAATTGCCGGTACCCGTTAAAACTCCTAAGCGAAAAGAGGCATTTATAAAGTAAAGTGTTTTTCCTAAGAACACAATACAATGATTCAGCCAAGTTTTGATCCCTGACCTCTCGAATTTTTAACTTGCAGATTTGTATATAAACGTGCTACTGTTGGAGGGACAAAAACAATTGGAGTCACATCGAACATCGAAGAAGAAAGGAAGCACTGATGTACTCTTCTACGAAAATTTTGCGTTGGACCTTACTTCTCTTGACGTACGTCAGATAATTTTGCGGTTGACCGCAATGCATTGTTGTAAATATGTAATTAACGCTGATCACGTGATTGGTCACGTGGATACGAACGACAAATCATGGGGTTCTTCTTTCAGCTCTCATTGGGTAGAGGTAATCACGTCTCCAGGAACGAACGTGAATAGATGGCATACTCTATGGTGTTAAAAAAGAAAAAAAAAAAAACCAGAGAACACACCTTTTTTGATGGCTCAACATATAATAAGCGAGTAAGTCTTGCGAGTTGCTTTGTATTTTTTGAACCCTTAGGGGATTGGGAAATACGAGCCATGAGCAATATATCCGTTCATTTTATATGTTAAACCATCGAATAAGGTGTATGTTGCTTATTTTGTGCGGTCCGTTGCCCTAATATGGTAAAATTTGCATGATGGTGCAATGATAAGTAGGCGTACGGCCTTGATGAAACCGTTGTTATAAAGACTGCAAAAAAAATGATAAAAATAAGAAAGCAAGGATAAAAAATAAGAAAGCAAGGATAAAAAATAAGAAAGCAAGGATAAAAATAAGAATGCAAGGATAAAAAATGAAATTAAACACAAATTGTGGCAATCAAAATAGAATTATTAATTTAAAAACTTATTTATTTTGCGTATGTGCAGCATTTTTGATACTTAATGCCAACGATTGTGTGATATTCCTGGTTGGTTCGATGGCGAAAACAGCCATTTTAAAGTGCAATTAACAGGTAATATAAAAGTGTTACTTTGGGGGGGAGGGGTGCCCGTTACTTTCCCCCCCCACCCTTTGTACTCTGGTGAGTGCCCTCTGTTGACACAGTGTGACCCACCCATTTGAAAAATCCTGGCTACACTCCAGTTACAAAAAGGGCAAAAAGAGGATATTTAAAGTAAGTACTCTCATGAGGATGACAAAACATACATCGTTTAAGAGGAGGCCTCCATCACCAGAAATGGTTTTCAGGGGATGATCTAATTAATGTCACAGACAAAAATTAATTCAACCAGAAAGCTATAAAAGTGAAAATATATTAAATATAGAAAAAAAATTAGTGGAAGATAAGTCAGTTTTAAACATGACACGAGGCATCGGTATTTTTCATTTGTTTGGCAGGAAAGCCTAATCGTTCAAAGCTCTAAATATAAGGTGTGTCTTTCATTCAGTTCGTAGTTAGGGAAGTCTTGATAACATTACAACCATGTAGATGACTTTAAGACGTCGTAAAAATATCAAATTTATACTGGAGCATCTCCCTTAATCGCATCTTGACCAACAAAACATCGATTCCAAAGAACACAGAAAACTGTAGAAGGTAGAAATCTTTACAGATCATACATATCTGGTGAACTTTCCAAAAGTGCAAATAGAGTATCAACGCTATGTGTTGATATTCTGTGTCATTCATTATAATTGAATTGAATCAGAAGCACTCTTTGATGACAAACCTGAAGAAAAGCTCACACACTGCACGGAAATTTGAGCAATAGAGGACTATTTGAATGTTTTCATAGCCTCCTCTAAACACACAGGCGCATGGAAGAATTCGAGAAAGCAGTGCATAATTCTTATAAATTCTTCCGAAAGGAAAAAGTCCTCGATTGCTTTTATAAATTTTTTTCAAGAATTAAACGAAACACGTCACAAACCCACCATCATACTCTCGTTTAAAAGAAAACAATCGACCAATGAATGCTTACCATCATGAATATCTAAGAAATGACTTTGGTAACTCAGTGACATGTTGTACGCTTCAACATACAGAGGGCCAGGGAAATTTATTATTTAACCAGTCCCTGTACTGAATGATGCCCACGTAAAAATCTTGTTTAGTTTGGTCCTCTATTACTTCTTTGCTAAATGCAAGGTTATCTTTACCAGTCCTCGAATAATAATTTCAGCTTTTACGTCTGTGCGATTAGGTCTGCTACTCAGCAACAAAGAAGAAATTTAGTACCTGTGCAACCACCACAAACACATATTAATTCCCGAAGAAAAACAATAAGGAAAATCAATAAAACATATGTCTGCTAAAACTGCTAAAATCAACTTTATGTTTATTTGGGGCAGTTCTGAAATCAGTTTTTATTAAATTTTCAACTCCAGAAATTGCATTTCTAGTGTTTTGATTGGTTCACGTAACTCCGGTTATCTGATATGGAGCTGCTAAAAGGCTCCAAATATCCAAACGTCGGATCAATATCAGTATCTAGGTAACTTCCCACCTACCCCTCCCCTAACTCAACAACAGTCATATCAATTGACAACAACAGTCAATTGACAACAAGTTAAGGTTAATTTTGGGTTAGGGGAGGGGTGGGTGGGCAGTTGCCCAGATACTGATATTGATCCCAAACGTTCAGGGTTTAATGAAAATGGATACATTGTTTCCATTTGCACTTGTTGGATACGAGATTGATTATAGCTAATTCGGTTCTACGCGCCTTGTTAGCTATTTATCACCTCATATCCGACGTGCGCTCATGGATTAATAGTTAATTACATCAATTACCACTTTTCAGTTCTTTTTATGAGCAAGAAATACGCATTTTATATAATTGGACGTTAAGAGAGGGAGAAAGTTCAAGAACTTATACAAATAGTCCAATCGATCGTATTTTCAGAACATGTAAATACGTTGTATAAAACTGGAAAGAAAATTCATCTTTTTTCTTTTCTATGACAACATATATTAGTTATTCAGAAATGTGGCTTTTTGTCTGAAAACCAATATTCTAATAAATCTCCATTTTTTTTGGTGCCAAGATTTTGCTTTCGGTAAAGGAGAAATATAGGAGTTGTTAACTTTCTAAATGTGCGAGGAGCGATTCAGTCGTAAACACATGGCAAAAATTTTTAACTGGAAGATATTTGTCTCTTTAGTTGGCCTTGTAAGTTTTTTCTCGTTTTTCTATCAAACAATACTGCTTCTTAATCATTCAGCTAAACATATTCCGATCAGTTCTTCACTATTTCGCAATAAAAGCTTGTTAGGAAAGCGCCATGATGATAACAACTTCGTAGCTTGCAAGCTTCCCGAATTGGATCCGTTTCACCCTAGTGTGATTCATTTTACTAAGGACTTCGGTAAGCTGCGTTGTAATGGTGCTAGTTATTCAAGCTTCGAGAACAATGTCCTTCGAGTTGAAGGCACTGGAGTCGTTTCCGTGCAATACAGAACGATCCAAAGGCCTTTGGGGGACGATTTTGGAGTGGTTCTTTCTGATCCAGTCAGAGTTCGCAACGAGGAAAAGCGTAATCAAACAGGTGAGTGTTTTCAGAAGTCAAAATTTTAACTATTGTTCTCAATTTTCTGGGTTTTTTTTCCTACAGCGCCAGGGGGTAAGGGGAACTTATTGCGAGGACACCACTCAAAAGTTTTCTCCGAGATTATCATTTTTAAGCTTTTCTAAGCTTTTTAAAGCTTTTTAAAGGTTCACGGACTGAGGAACTTTTCACAAGTTACCTTTCTAGGCTGTATTCTTCAGAAAAATAAAAAAATGCTTAAATGGCTAAATCACTTTTGATTATTCAACTGTTTTACTACTTATACTTACTACTACCGGTCTTAGTTGCGACATGGATTTTGATATTACAATTAAAGCAACCCCCTATAGCATGGACCAATCTTGGATCTTGGCTGTAATAGAAATTTAGAAATACTGAGCTAAGTACGACTCTTTACGGTGGCCAGTATAAATCATTTATTCAACTGATAACACCAAATTATAATAACACTCCCCACCGACGGAGCACCACAGTTTCAGTGGGATGTTACCCCCTTTAATGTTAAATCAGTTTTTCTTCAATTAAGAAAAATCTAAACTCCTCTACACCAACAAAATCTAGAAATAAATGTCATCTTTAAAAGCCGTTTCCACGAAACTGAAAAACTGAAGGATTGGGTAGGCATAGTTAAAAAAGGAAAGTGTTTCTTCATCTTCTAAGATGGACGCTCTAGCTAAGATCTCGCGGAGCCTAAAGGCGATTTAAGTTAACCGAAAATTAAAAGATAACAGTCTATTCTACATTGCATTATCTAGGAATCTGCAGCGCAAAAAATCGCAATAAATCATAGTAGTAGTATTAGTAGTAGTAGTAGTAGTAGTAGTAGTAATAGTTGTAGTAATAGTAGTATTAGTAGTAGTATTAGAAATTGTAGCAGTAGTACTAGCAGTGCTAGTAGAAGTAGTAGTAGTAAGTAAGTAAGTAAGTAAGTAGCAAAGCAGATTAAAAGAGATGTATGCCATACGTGGTTATGGTTTCAGGTTACTTTAGCGGAAGTGCATCTGTAGAGACGGACTTCATTCGAGTCGATGTCGTCACATCCTCGGGAGATATAAAAACTGACGTACACATGCACGTGTTTCCTAAAAAAGAAGTTCTCAGAAGACAGTCCAAGCCAGGAATTCCTTTGAATGTTGCACTGATTATGTTTGACTCCACGTCGGCGGTCAATTTTCAAAGAAAAATGCCTCACAGTTTGGACTATCTAATCAAGAATATGACCTCGATATTATTTCAAGGTAGGTTATCTCTTGTTCACTTTAGAGTTAGCGCTGTAGCAGTTGGCTGTGCCAAAGATAGGCCATATGTTGCTTTTTTAATGATAACGTTCATGTGTTTGAAGTTAGATTTCCATACCAGTTCAGTAAAGAATTAAGAAGGCTAAATTTACAAAAAAAAATTAAACTCACTTTAAATGATGACTCGGTAGCCCTTCGTTAACTCGTCTTCTAAAGATTTTAGTACCGCTTTTTATATGCTTCTTGGTGTCGTGCAATTACGAAATATTTCATCTTATAAAAGTCAAGTGTACCTTTACGTACTATTACCTTACAAGTGATAGGCATCTTTTTGCACTAATCGACAGGTGAGACAATCGTAGGAGATGGAACCACGGCACAGTTGACAGCGTTGCTGACTGGAAAGACGGAGAAAGAGCAATCAGAGGCTAGAAAGAGAATTGATTCATCTAGACCAGTAGACAACTGGCGTTGGATCTTTAAAGAGTTTAAAAAGAGTGGGTACGCTACGATGTTTTCAGAAGATTCCCCGCATCTTGCCTCCTTTAATTATCGCTTGAAAGGTTTCCACGATCCGCCTACTGACCATTACGCCAGACCGTTTTGGCTAGAGGCTTTCCAACTAATGATGAAGAGCAAATTTTGCCTTAACAGTAGGCCTGCTCATAACGAATCTCTAAATTATTTGATGAGTTTTTTCCGACGTTACCAGGACACGCCAAAATTTGCATTCTCATCTCATGCTGACATATCACACGATAGCGTAAACACGGTTGGTTTTGCGGACGACGACCTTAAAGCAACTTTAGAGACGATGCAAAAAGAGTCACTCTTGAAAAACACTTTGTTGATAATTTTTTCCGATCACGGACCACGATTTTCTGGTTTCAGGAGTACAATACAAGGGAAACTTGAAGAACGATTCCCATTTATGTCATTTACCTTGCCGGAATGGTTTCAAGACGAGTATCCTGACCTTCAAAGTAACCTTCTTCATAATTCCCGCGTTCTTACATCACCTTTTGATGTTTATGCAACTTTACGTCACATCTTGTCATATCCTCATTACCCAAGGGGGATTTTAGTTGGGCAAAGCCTGTTTAGCCGGATAGATCCAAGGAATCGCACATGCGCGAGTGCTGGCGTAGACGATCATTGGTGTCCTTGTCTTGACCTAGAAGAGGTTGGCACTAATGAGTCTGTGGTGATGGAATTAGCAGATTTTGTGGTATTACATATCAACAATCTGACGTCACAGAATGAAGAGCTGGTGAAGATGTGTCGGCGGTTGAAACTGAAAGAAGTGAACAGGGCATTCCGCGAAATGCCCAGTGAAGCCATGCAAAGGTTTCAGGGTACCACGAGAGATGCACGAGATACGTGTGACGGTTGTGGGGTGGTTTTGGGTAAAAAGTCCCGGAATAACCTCGTTAAAGACACTTTGTATCAGTTGCATTTTGTTACATCTCCCAATGAGGGATTTTATGAAGCTACTGTTAGGATACAGAAGGGTGTTCCCTCACTTGTAGGGGACATAAGTAGAATCGACGCATACAAAGACCAACCATATTGCATAATGGAAGATTTTCCACTTTTACGAAAGTATTGCTATTGCTTTTCAAGAAAATTAAACATCTCTAGTCAACGCTAGTTGAAACAAAAATCAAAAAACTTTTGAGTATTATAAAAGATAAGTCTTTTCCATTCCTCTTTAAATTCCTTGTGCAAACATCTTCTAGGCATGTATTTAATTCATTGACGGCGCATATGCCAAGCAGCATCAGCGCTGGGGTGTAGGAAAAATGTAGACAATGAGGGAACAATATTATTTAAAATCGGTATCAACAGCTTTGATTAAGATTATTGTCCATTTCCTTTTTCTGATGAAGGTTTTTCTTAAACCCCAAAATTTTGAAATTTGTAGGCTAATGTCCTCTTTTGATATAGCTTATCGGATGTGACGCATAAGAGAAAAACAAGAATAGCCCCTTATTATCTGCAGGCCATTTTAGAATGAGAACAGTAGAAACACAAAGAGCAGATAAGCGTAAATTCTAGACAGTTAAAGTGTGATACATGTTCTGACGTCTGAATCCGCGTATATATACAAAACATCGAAGATCCCTAGTCACTTCCCTGCGCTTCAGTGTTCAATGATGAAACGATGTCTCAATTAACATTCTAATATGACCAGACGAGTATTTTTGTTGTTAATTATAACCACTACAATTTCTTCAAATGCGATCGGTGCAGTAGCTTCTTTATTTTTTCACTAATCATTCTGTCCATCTGTAAACGTGAAGTGTTATCAGGCACCTGCATGTGATTGGACAGTTGAAGCAGCCAATCACACTAAGTCCCCCAGCCAAATCCACCAATCACAGAATTAATCACAATAACCATAGGAACAACCACTTATCTTAAAAAAACAATTGAGAAATTTCCAAAATAGGAAAATTTCTTTTTACTTTAGACATTGTCTCAACTGGAGATATTTGAGCTAAATGTATTTGTTGTTTTCGGAAATTGTAACGGTGATGATTAAGTGATAACAGGACTTCTTGTCGTCCAATTCTGTCGGCAATCATACCCGTGATTGAGAAAATGGACTCTTCCTTCGGGGTCATCCAATTGTGTTTATCACTCATATGATTACAAACCGAATTGGACTTCACCCAGTCCTATTACCGTTATTTATTGCATGGACCATTTTCTTATGGCTCTTAATGACTGGTTTTCTTAGCATTCTATATTATTTTAAATAATAAAATTAATTAAAATAGGGGATGGTTAATTCTATGGTAAAAATTAGTATTTCAGCTCCCTTGATATTTTTTTTATTATTATTATTATCAGTCATATCCTACTTAGCCATGCTTTGGGAACATGGCCAGAAACTAGAAAGCAACAAAACGATGACTAACTTGTTCCTGTATTGCAGAAATATATTTACAGAAATATGATATATCTATATTCTACAACCAATAATGTGCTGTTGTTGTTTTTGTCCTAAAACGAATCCTACATCTTCTAGAAATAGCTATCAAAGGTGGTTTCTGCTACATCGATTGTCTCACCATCATCCCCCTCACGAGCCTTACACAGTTCAATCTTTAACTACGTATTGATTATCTTAAATTCTCTGTAATTATAGATTTGTGCCTTTTGACTTACGTGCAAATGGTGCGTCTGAAAAGGAACCTAATTGCTGTGAAATGACCTCGATGCAAATGAAAAAAAAAGGCTTTCGACACTTGCATGTGTTTACTCACAAATCAACTTTATTGGCATGAAATCAATTTCTTATCATTTGCATGTTTATAATTTCAATTCTGTCAAAAATACGGTAGATGGAAAAGGCAAAATAAAAATCACGTTGATAGCTGTCTTCTTGAGCAGTAGTTTTTTACTATAAGAAAATTAAAGAGAGAACCATCTATTATTTACATTTCTGAATATGTCTATTTCAAATGACAGTCGTGTCTTAATTGACTTTCCTCCAACAAGGCTCTAATGCAGGTGACAGAATTTAAATTTTTCCATTTTTTTAAATTTAAAACTTCCAAATTTCATGAACTCCTTCTTATTCTATCTAACATGAACTCCCTCCCCTATCAAAACTGCTGTTATATATAGTTTCTGCTTAATTTAATACAATATAAAGTCATTTACGATAGTCAAAGAACCACGTTAACAGCGATTTAGCATATTATGTGTGCCAAGAACAAACAGGAATTTGCATTTTGTGTATTTTAAAATGACTTGTTTTAACTGAATTTCTAGACATTGATTACTTACTGTGAGAGAATAGTGGCTGAAATTTTTTGTCAAAGCCCGTGGTGGGCTCATTCCGAAAGTGTTTCTTTCCAAGGACAAATCACTGGAGACTGAAGACAGCAAATAACTTGAAAACATCTCAGACAGGTGATTAAATGCTCGCCATCGCTTTTTTGAGAACCACTGCAGTAAGTACAGGTTTTAAGTAATTTTTACTGTAACCGTTTGGACAGGCATCCAACTTGGATTACTTTCCATCACAAAAAAGTAATAAAGTGTGGTCAGGTTTACAGAATCTATGGTTAAACAGATTTTAAGCCCCCTTTAAAATCCATTTTCTAACAGGTTATGCAATTTATGACGATCTTCGAACAGTGCACTTTGTTTCGAATTTCACACCTTCGTCTCTACTGATGAAAGGCAGAGAATGATTCTCTACTAAGGTGTATTAAGAAATATTACGTTTGGAAAACAAGAAAATCGAAATTCGAACCAAAGTAATAAAATGCAACTTCGCAACTATTAAGCCAACTAGCTATTTGGCTCCGTGGATGCAATGAAATTTTATTTTTGGATTGTAATATATTATTAGACTTTTGTATAAAATTTCATTGCACAGCCATTCAACTTCAAGTGAGCCAGTGGCTGGTTATAATTTTTAGAGGAACAGAACGTAAACTTCTAGAAAAATAGCTTTCGTGTCCTAAAAACATGGGAATTTGTAACACATCTAAAGTATATCTTTTAGTATTTTACCATAACTGAGTCAGTTCTTTACTGGTAGGTGCATTATAGGAATGACATTTACGTTAACAATTTATCTGAATTCTGCGCAGACCAGAAGAAACCGAAGCACAAGAATCGGAGAAGGAATTGGCAAGATTATATCATAACAAGGCAATTATATCAGTTGGCATCCATTTAGGATACAGGAAAGTAGCGCATAAGATAAGGCAGTTGTACCAAGGCGTGTTGAAACGTAAGTAGTTCAAACTAAAATATATTTCTGGTCAGGAACACCTGCCTCCATCTAGGCATTTTCCTTCTCGAGTGACCATCTCAAAATACTAACGACGTAACTAATCAATTTATGCTATATTAGGCATTCATACATGAGGGTAGAAAATATTAAAATTCGAAGCTTTGCGAATTCTAATAAAAAGCCTTTTCTAAATACTTTTATCGCAGTCCTGTAAAAAAAATTCCCGAAGGAACATTATTAAGAGAAAAATAAATTAACGGTTGCAATAATATTTTTTTTGACTCGACAGCTAGGTATATCATTTTCACAAAATTAAGTACCCGCAAAAAGTTATCCTCAAAAACGGAATCAATGATCAACGTTTCAAAGCTTTGCTTATTATTTAAAAGAGTTTGTAAATGTTGTTCAGGCTACTGATATATAATCCTAAGAAATTTTGTTGCTAATTTGAACTTAACTCCGTTATTTCAGATGTCGACTCCAATACTAAGAACATGGCTGGCTCTCCTAATATCAACTCTATGTGCAAACGGTGGGAGTCTTTTTTTTATTTTCACTTTAGTTTCACGTTATTTGGAACCCTCCTCTTTTTCTTCAGCGCTTGATGTTTAATATTCGCTCCTAAGATAGAAAATGAACGATTTTTGCTTCATCACAATCATTTTTATAATATCTAAATCTTCTAGCTGTTACATTAAAGTTGGATATCGTTTCATAATTCATTTACAAGGACAACTGAAATGGGATTAGTATCCTATCCAGGGGAGTAACAGTATACACTTGTTCACTTAGTGCTACAGAATCGGAATAAGCTCTACTCTGGTGAAGCACTGAGATCGGTAGTTAGATAGGTAAGTAAGTCAGGTCTGCACTCCAGCCTAGTGGCCCATCCAGCCGGAGCTCAAAACGATTTTTATGGCAAGAAGTGAGTGGGAGTATTATCACTACCTTCCTGGATGGGATGCCTCCCTCCCTCCCCCCCTCCCCAAAATTTCAACAGGCTTCCCAGACGATTCGCCGGTAATCATATATACTCCTGGGTGGCCACCACAAATTGGCCACCGTAAAGAGTTTCCTAGGAACTCTTTACGGTGGCCAATTCACATTATCCGCTCGGTTGATAAAACCAAATTATCTTAAGCTTGTTATACCCCTTACCGACGCAGCATCACGGTTTCTTTAGAAACTCAGCCCCCCCCCCCATGGGTAAACTACAGCTGAAACTTCATACTAATGATAAACCATGATTGAAGAAGAAAAATGAGATACTATTTTGTCTTAATTTTCATATCTGGCAAATCAGCAAGATGAACTTTGACTCTCGTTATTCAGGTGTAGGTTTGGGTTCTTCATCATGTTCCTACCAAGTTGAAGGCAAATGGGGAACAATCCTCACCCCTCGATTCTTTGCCAACAACACTTGTAGCTGGTTGATAACAGCGCCCGTCAATCATACAATCATCCTAACATTTGAAACATTCCAGCTGTATTATAAAGATGAAATTGGTAGAAAAATCGAAACTCGACTGCAAGTTTGGGACGGAGTCGACGACAAAAGCAATTCACTTGGGATTTTTCGCGGCACTAAACGTTCGTTTTCTCTGAACTCGAGTGATCGCCATCTTTTCCTTCGACTATTTTTGGACACCGATGTTCTCCTTTGTAATTTTGAAGGATCTTTCATCTCAACCACCACTGCAGGTAAAGAGCAAACAGCAAACCTGACATCCTGTTGTTAGATAAAGACATTGAAATACCATGCACTGGTTCCGTACCAGTTTACTAAACAAATAAAGTCTTCAACAAACTGAGACAGTTAATAAAGTTTCCCAGAGGCTTCAAATTCCACTCAACATTTAATATGAAAAAAAATTGTTTCTTTCTGTGTAGCT